TTTTAAAAATAAGATGATGCATGATTATTTTAAATATCTCTTAATAAACAAGATAAATGAACAGCTTAAGGCTGTAGGTGATGTTTGATCTCTATTTACATTTCTGGAATTTAACAATTTTTTACATTCATGGACTTTTCATATTTGCTGGCAGCATTATAGGTTACATTTCTGGGGGAATATGGATCTTGTTTTAAATAATTATGCAACAGGATTCAGCATGTATTTGTGATCACTTTATAATAATCTCTAGAAAAACACTATTTGTGGTGCCTGACCACTGTTATGAAATTAGAATTATGTTAAAGATAAGGTATAAATGTCAATTATAAGATTTTATTACCATAACCTTGGACAACCTCACAGCAATCCAGAGAGTTGCGCTTGCATCTGAATTTCTAAAACATTTGAAACTCCTATTAACAAGTGCATATTCCTACTCATTATGAGACTTCTTGGTATATCGTGCTAATTACTTTCCTGTACTCTAGCTCCCAAACCACAATGAATCCTATTATAAAAGCAAATCACTGCAAACTTCAAACAGCATGCATCCTTGAGATGCCACTATTAAAGGAAGAACAGTGATGGGAAATCTTTGATGTTATCAGATGTGATTGGAAATACACATTTGTATTTGAGTAAACCCTGTAGACCAAAGCATTTCCCCCACCTTTAAATAACCTGAAACCAGTTTCAAGTTCCCAAATGCTTTTCAAAGCAGCCAGCCTTGGAAGTAAGGCTGATGGCATTTCAAATTTCAAGGCAGTTTTTTTTCTATCTCTAGACTGCAAGCAAATTTGACATTTTACTTTTAAAGAGAAAAGATACTACCTATTTTTACCCACACCACCAGCCTCTGCTCTGATGAGCAAAATGTGTTAGCGAATGAACTTAATTGTCATAATGAAAAGATGGTATGTAACTAAATAGTTCAGAGTTTGAATAATGCAGAAGATTCTAGAGAATTCTAAGCTGTGTTTAGATATTTCATGCTTGGGTTTGTTCTTGTTCCCATGTTGTTGACCAAAAGTTGGAATGTAAACAGTGGGCCTGTGGCAGGACAACTGTACACAACTGTAAATAATCCACCCTTCCCTGAATGGAGCGTGTGTCAAGCTGAGAACAAAAATTGGTGTGTGCTTCACTCCAGTATCCACAGGGAGCCTGGGCCACACAATTCTGAACATTCATACTATGAATAATCCCTGTAGCAGGAAAGTCGGTCTGTGGCTTCTCAAAAAGCTTCAGATCTGTGGTCAGTAGAAACAGCCATGAACCTGTTTGGGCTAAAGAGATACAGTGGCCCTAGTGAAGTTCCCCTAGCATTTAATTAGATTTCCCATAATTGCTTTAAGTAAAAGGGGTGAAGGGAATGAAAACTAAAGTTATCATCTTGGGACACAAACTATTTGTATGTGGTTTTAATATCCTGAGCTCATTTGTTGCTGCTCTGCATTTGGGAAAGAACCATTATACTTCTAAGGAAATACACACTGCAAAGTTTATCAGCCCTTTGGTGACTGTAAATCACTGCAATAAGTTTACAGGAAGAATTTTGTTTCCAGTAAGTGAATTTCTGTGTGAAGAGAGAAGGTATAAACAAGTAAAACAGGCAAAAGTATTAAACACCAGAAAGTGGAATAAGCATTTAAAAGGGGGACGAGATAGTAGAAAAGCTGTGCTACATCTTTGCATGGATTTCTAGGTATCGGAAAAATGAGAATAATTCCAATAAGATAAGAAAATGAAAGGCCTAAGCAAGGGTCAGGAAAGAGGAAGGAAAGTAATGTTATTTGTTAATAAATTGCAATTTTTGCTGTGGAGGTCATTTTATTAATTGGACATTGGCTAAAATAATAAACTGTATCTTTTCATACAGTGGTGAGGGATTAGGGTATTCCAGTTACTTGAAAATTCTTTTTAAGCTGATCTCTATATAAACATAAGATAATTACTGATTTTCAAAACTTTAAAATATTTTAAATATAATCAATAAATTTTGACAATAGAGTTGTCCCTTCAGGGTCTTGCCCTGCCTGAGGATTATAAAACCCACTTTCCTGGGTTTTATTCCAATTCAGAGACTCATGAGTGGAACCGAGGGCTTTGTCATTTCTGTTACTCAAGATTCATCAGCTTTTCATAGGAAATATTGTTTATTCCCTAGTGTGACAGCACCTACTTCTATTGGGTGGTTGTTAATTTCCCTGAATGCTGTTACCCCTCTGAGCATGACCCTAGGTTTTAGGGTAAGTTCTGGAATACTCTTTTTTTAGGATCTTTAGATGATACCTTTTTCATGTCACCTTATACCAAGAAGTCATAATCAAACATTTTAAGGACTCATAACTTTGAGGAACTAGTTAAACTATATCTTGTACATATCATATGTGTATATGCATGCATGCGCACGCACGCGCGCACACACACACACACACAGAGTCTATCCAGAAAATATCCAGCCATATACTATGAAAAATAGATACATTTATTGAAGAAGATACAAGATACAAGAAACATTGTACATATGACAATGACACCTCAGTCCCCTTCTTAATTAGGCACCTTGAGATCTCACACAGTTTTTCCAGTTGCCATTAGCTGCCCCATCATAATTTTTTGAATCTCATTGATCATCTGAAATCTCTTCCCTTATCAAAGGTGACTTTAGTTTTGGGAAAACCAGATATCACAGGGCAACAAATCTGGGCTGTAGGGGGCTGAGTCACCTGGGTGAGTGATGTTTGCCAAAACCTCTGCATGAGACGTGATGCATGCATGGCTGCGTTGTCATGATGAAATTGCTAATCTCCAGTTGCCCATAGCTGTGGCCTCCTGAATCATCTGAATTGTTTCCACGGAGGAGATTTCAAGCTTAATGCAAAATGTGATGCAGATTCATTGCTCTACTTGCTCAGTCATTTTGAATGTGATGGCCACACAGTACACATGCTCCCTCAACGGCATCTACCACACTTCACTAGTACAGTGAAGTCATCGTTGTTCACACATGCGCATTCCAGTCCACTCTCCTTGGCTGCCAGGTTACAGTGATGTAGTGCAAACCGTTCTCCTTATATTAACAATGACAATGCTTGGACTTTTTCCAGACAGACTGTATATATATATATATATACACACACACATATATATACTCACATATATATACATATACATGTATGTATTTTTAAAAATTCTCATCTGATTATATCATATGCTTGCTTAAAACACTTTAATGATATCCATGGCTCTCAGGAAGAAATTCAAAATCTTGAACATGATAAACAGCAATGTTTCTCAAACTGTATCATGCAACAGAATTCTTGGAGGGTTTGTTAAAATACAGATCACTGGGCCTGATTCTTAAGGTTATTATTTACTTAGTGAGTTTGAAGTGGGACCCAAGAATTCACATTTCCAACAAATACCAAGTGATGCTAACAAAACTGTACTGGGGTTCACATGAAGAATCACTAGTCTACATGACTATATATGAACTGGTCCCTTTCTTAGCTCTGGTTTCATCTAATGTTGAGACATTAGATGGCTCTAGGGGCTTAGTTGTCTTCTTCTGGGAATTCAAGCTTTTCATTCTCTTCCCTGCTTCTTCCATATGTCCTGTTTCTCTCCCCATATAATTTAACCAACTCAGTTCATGTTGGATCTTTCATTCCCGTTGTTATTCATTCTAAGTGTCCCTATATGTCTCCTTTGCAGCCCTAAACACAATTATAACTAAAGAATAAATTGTATAATCTGTAGTTAATATGTTCCCTCCTTGCAATAATTTACATTCATTGAGGACAATCACTGTCTTAATTGTCATTCCCCAAATACCTATAGCAGTGTATTTTATATAATTGATACTTAGTAAGCATTTGTTCACTGAATGAATGAATGGTAGAAAGAAATATGTTTAATCTTTCTTCCTGTGCTCATGCTTGACCCAGATAAAATCCCTTTGCTCCCCAAGCGAGCCCCTGTCAGTTCTCTCAATACACACTCCATCTGGAAAGTGCGAGTTCAGTCTTCAGGAGAACTGACAGTTACCCACATATATCGTTTGGTCATTCTTTTTGCTCAGTGAAGAAAGGCACACTGGAGAATGAATCTCTGAAAGATAAATACGCCTAAAATGATCTCCCCAGATTCTTAGTTCAATATTTGTTATTTAAGATTATGTAATTCTTTGAAAAAAATTCCAATTATTCAAGAATTTTAGCTGGGAGCCACTTTATCTTTAATCTTTGGTCATATTGCAATTATAGAGAAACATTTGGGCTTTCAAAATATTACGCATAAAAACCTAAAGTCATACATTGTTTGATAAAATGGCAAGGGTTTGTTAACTGGCTGATCTATCATTCAAGAAAAACAGTGTACCTTACTAACTGAAACACAGTTGTTAAAGTAATTCAGTTGATAAATAATCACGACATATTTATAAATTACTAGGTTGTATAACAAAACTGATATGCAGGTATATATGTATTTATAACTTATGCACTTATGATTATAGTTTTATGTGGTTCTTTCCCATTTCATGTGAACTAAATCTTTCACATCATCTTTCTAGGAAGGTTTTGATTTGTAATTCTGTGTACAGCATGTGGGTACCTTACCCACAACCTATATAATCCAGGTAGAATCCTTCGAAGATGTAAAATTCAAGTTCACATTTAAATATACGGAAGGAGGTAACTTGGTGGAGGATGAATGTTAGACCATATGGGGAAAAGTGTAATTTTGTGGAGTGTTACATCTTTACTTTCGTCTTCTGAGGATCCAGGAGATTTGAAATAGCAAATAAGAGAATGAAAATGTTGTGAGTCGAGCAAGTGGAGCCACAGGAAGATCAGAGGAGATGAGAGACAATATCTGGAATGTTGACCTAGAGGCCTCAAGATAGATCCCTGAGGGGAAGAAGAGAGAGTATATGATATTTTGTATTTCTTTAGTACAAATCTTCTGACTTAAATCTTCCTTTCTCCTATCAGGTCTCATCGTCCGGGAAGTGAGCATTGAGATTTCACGCCAGCAAGTGGAAGAACTGTTTGGGCCTGAGGATTACTGGTGCCAGTGTGTGGCCTGGAGCTCAGCAGGCACCACAAAGAGCAGGAAGGCCTACGTGCGCATCGCATGTGAGTCATTGCGCCTGGACCCTACTGGTTTCAGAAACCGATGGAAAGTAGGAAAATTTAGACTCACTGCTCTAGTGTCAAAGAAACCTGGTCAAAAATGGCTCTCAGATTTCTGTATTTGAGCTATGCTTTTCCCTTAAGGAATCAGGGTATTTTATTTTTTTTTGTTTCAAGGCACTGAGTAGTTTTACTTTAAGGACAGAAAAAAATAGTGCTACTTTCAAAAGATGCTGATTTTTTCCTAATTTGGTAATAATTAGGTTGGGAAAACCAACTATATTCCTTTAATGAGTTTATTCTGTCAATTTGTTAAGACAATGTTGACTAGTTTTGCTATTGGAAACAAAGATTACCCAGACAGAGCTTCTCTAATTAGTTTGGAAATGCTCTAATGCATCAAAATTACCTCTATTTTCCACACTTTGTTAATATTGAGTATTCATGTTCAGGGAGAGGTTCAAAGGTGCCTTGCAAAAATGTTTCCATAATCAAATAAATGTTCCAAATAACTTTTTTTGGCCCAAGTTATAGAAGTTTCTTCATTGCAAAACTTCTCAGAGTCTTTAATATGCTAATCGTTAATATGCTACTATTATCCCCAAGGAGATATACCCTGCAGCTCTTTCTGCAGTCTCCTTTTTTCAATGGCTATTATTCACATCTCGAGCAGCATGAGTACGGCTATGATCTGTTTTAAGGTTCCATACTGAGAAATTTTCTCAGGTATGAAACCAATGAAATCCATGTAAGTTATATTATCTGAACACCTTTGCATGTCTGCATTTTAGTAAATATTCTTTTGTGGCAGATGCCAACATCACTTACCTAATGTGTCACTAAGTTCCAACAATCCTGGCTCTGACGCTTCCCCAAATCTATACTTGCTTCCTCATTGCAAAAACTTCCCAATTAGCATTTCCTTCTTCCAGTCCTTCTTTCATATTACCTACCACAAAGGCAATCTTGCTAAAACTCAGGTCACATCTCATCTCCCCCTGCTTAAAATTTCACAGTGGTTTATGTGATAAAGTAAAAATTCCATACAATAGCATATATCATTATATTAATTTGTTAGGGCTACCATAACAAAATACCACAGAGTGGGTGGATAAACAACAGAAATTTATTCTCTCACAATTCTGGAAGCTAGAAGTCTGAGATCAAGGCACCAATAGTACTGATTTCTTCTGTAGCCTCTGCCCTTGGCATCTCGGTGTCTTCTCATGGTCTTCTCTCTATAATTGTCCAGGTACAAATTTCTCTTCTTAATAAGATTATCAGTGATTTTGGATTAGGGCCACCTAAAGGCCTCATTTTAACTTAATTACCTCTTTAAAGGTCTTCTCTCCAAATAAAGTCACATTCTGAGTTACTAGAGGTTAGGACTTCAACTTGTGGCTTTTGCGGGGGACACAATTCAGTCCATAACATCGTATTTCATAGCTTACATATCCAGCCTATGATTGCAGCTCTGACCACTAAGAATTTCTCCATTCTAGTCATGCTCCATTAGAAATACTTTGATTTCTGTGCTTTCAGCTATTGTTTCACCCTTCTCTTCCCTTCATTATTTGTGAAAATTCATTTATTCAACAAATATTTAGTGAACACGTTCTCTGTCCTTAGAACAATTGCAAGTATTTAGTATGGAACCAGAAACAAAACATGTGATCATCCCTGCCCTCATGGAGCTTATGTTCTGGTGAGGGAGGGCAAACTCTAAATATAATAAGTAACAACTGGCTACAGAGCAACTGGTAAGTTCTGTGAACAAAACAGGAATGGGGACTTCGTAGTGCGGGGTGAGGGTGGTCAAGGAAGATGTTGACAGTGATGAAACCTGAAGGAGGGGAGGGAGGGAGTCAGGCAAAGGGAACAGCAGGTAGTATTACAAGTATGAATGGATCCTCTGAGGCAGGAGGCTGGCCAGGTACAAGAAGACCACATTGGCTAATGCTGTTGGAAGAGAGTGAATGAGAGAAGCTTAGATGAGCTGAGAAAGGTAAGACACATGGAGGTAAGGGCAGAAAGGGCAGAATGGAGATGGCCCAGGTCGCTGTAGGTGTAACATCTTTGGTTCTTAGTAAGAGATGAGAACTTTGGAACACTTTCAGCAGAGGAATTGACTTTCATCTGAGCAGAGTCACCTGACTGCTGTGTTGAGGATAGACCATGAAGGGCAAAGGGAGAAGCAGGAAGACCAGGCATGAGGCTGCAACTGTAAGATGATAGGTGAGAATAGATTAGAAGCAGTGGAAGTGGTGTGATCTTGATTCTTGATATATTTAAAGGCAAAGGTGGTGGCTTTTATTGAGAGACTGGATGTGGCATGTGAAAGAGAAAAAAGAATGATTCAAAAGTCCACAGCTTTTTAAAGACTTCTTTCAAATGTCTTTACCCAAGTCATTTTTGCTTCATACATCACCAGAGTGATAGGCATTCCTTTCTCAATACTTTCAGAGCAGTTTGTCCATATTCTTCATATAGGACTTGTCTCATTTGAATTACATTCACTTATGACATCTGTGTGTCTGTCATGCCAGCAAGTTCCTTGAGATCAGTTTTGCTTAATTCAGTTTTGTTTATCTTTATATCTAGTAGTTAGCACAATGCCTAAAACATCATTGATGTCGAATAAAAATCATTATAAAGAATTCCTTAAGTTTATTAACATGCTCTATAGTAATCATTCCTCTCTGAGCACATCTAAAGAAATTTCCTATGAGGATTATTCATGATATAGATGAAGATGGAGACATGTATGTGAACAAATGTATTCAAGAGTTCTCTTAGGAATGGTGTCCCTGAAGGAATGAGGCAGCAGTATCGGTCGGGCAGGGGCAGACACTGCGCGTCAGTGCTGGCACAACAAACAGTGAACTCATCGGGAGCTCTGGTGCTCCAGGGGCCCTTCAGAGTCGTCCCACCTTGGGACGTAGGAAATGAGCAGGCCCTTACTCCCCCACATAGACTAGTCAGTGGATGTGGTCTCCTCCTTTAATCCCATCCCACCAGCTTGTGTCACTGGGGTCAAGTCAGCTCTCCTCAACTGAGGGCAGTTCCAGGAGAGGGGCTGAGAACCTTGACTACCGACCCTCCCAACGGGCGGGATCAGTCCTGAAAAGAGACCTTGGTGGCACAGCACGACTCCCACTACAGCTGTCCACCAGAAATCTCAAAGAACTTATTTTATTCATTATGAAGGGAGAAAAAGTTACCTTCAAACATTTTAAAAAGAAACAAAAATGTACTTATTTTGGTGATATATTTAAAAGGATTCAAAATTAGCTTCTAATTATAATCAAGAGGCACTTTGACATAAAACTATACCTTTCATTGCTATGCTCATTAATATCAAGTATAATAAATATTTAAAGGTGCCCATCTACACTTCATACTAAATTGGCTTACCAAAAAGCTGGTTTAAGGGTTTTCATAGTTCCAAATGATGAATCTCTTATGTATGTGTGTGTGTGTGTGTGTGTAAAAATAGTATATATAATATTCTCTCTATATATCCCTATTCACATAAAAATTTAATATATATAAGAATCCCATCTCTCTTTGCAACATATTACATAATATTTACTATTTACTTCATAGCTTTTAAATGTAGTTTCACATTTTCAAATAATGGAAAGACAAACTCTTCTTCTAGTAAGAGGCTAATTTGCCCATAGCACCTTTTCATCTCCATTTAATAAGGCTGAAGAACAGCTTGCTTGTACTTACATAATTAATGGAACTTACCTGTGTGTGGCCAAGGAACACCATCCAGTATGTAAGGTTTATTCATATAGATATACATCGTGGTGAAAAAATGGTTAAATTTATTTTTTTCCTTTTCGTTGAACTTTGGTGATGCTGGTTAACAAAATGATATAGGTCTCAGGTGCACATCATCTGTATCCTGTATTGTATGTTCACCATCCTAAGTCAAGTCTCCATCCATCACCTTTTAGCCCCCCCATACTCCCCTCCAATTCCCCCCGTCCCCCCGGCAATCACCACACTGTTGTCCATATCCATGGAATTTTTTAAAAGTTTCAGTTTCAAATTCTCTGTGTCAAGGCTGATCCCTAACAAGTGAGTCCTAATCTTATAGTAAGCTTGCAGATTGTTCATTTGCCCAGGAATATATAATAGATGATCATCACACAGACTTTAATTAAAGTTTAAATTCATCTCAGGTAAAAATAACCATGATCCTAAAGTCAAATAAGTACAATTACCTCTCACTTAACTAGATTTATACTCATTTTTTATACATTGAGTGGCCTGTAGTTTCATGAAAAATGCTTTATTTTCATGTTCACAAAGCATAAACTAATATTAACTACTTATTATTTATTTGTTTTCTTATAACACATTCAAACTATATAAAATATAACAATAACTTTGTGAGGCAATCAGGGCAGAGGAAAGGAAGGAAATGTAAAAGTTCGAATTCAGCCAGGCATGAGCTGACAGCGTCATATACCTGCTCTAATACTGTGCCCATTTGCCAAAGGGCAGCTGCAAGTGTCCCGGGAAGAGGCTGTAGTCTCCAACACAGAGAGAGAAGTTTATTCTGAGAGAACCTGAGAGGACACTGTAATGCCTATCCCAAGTAGAATGCCTATGGTGATAGAGCTACTAGTCTCATGGGGTTGTTTCTTACAGTGTCCCTTGTCATAGGCCAGTGGGAAAATTCCCGAGTGTCACTGTGGGAAAATGTACTGTAAGCAAATTTCAGTCAACATTGCCTTTCTTTCTACAGGACATGTCTTGATTTCTACATGGCTGCTGTTGTCGACGTTGTAGTTGTTGATGATGTGGTTAGGGGGTGGTATTTATAGTGTAAGAAGAGTAGCACAGTGGAGTGGTTAGAGCACCAGCTTTGAGGCCAAGTTGACTTATAGTCAGTCTAGTTGCATTACTTACAAATGTGACCTTGGTCAAGTGACTTTACCCCTCTGAGCCTTAGTTTCATCAACCGTGAAATGAAAATGACAAGGTTA